TTTAAAGCAGGGGTGTCCAACCTTTCACCTTCCCTGGGCCACATTACAAGATGAAAATTTGGTTTGGGCCGCACATACATTTGGTTTGGGCCGCATGGGGGGCAGCCCTAGCCTTCCTCCGCTGCCCCGCTCCAAGCGCACTTACCGGCAGCTGCGATCTTAGACAGCAGAGGCTGCCAGCTTCGACTCCGGTGGCTTTATGGGGCTGGGAGGGGGTCCACATATTGACGGGGATGGCGCAATGCAGTTACACAGCCCCCGTCTCCCCTCCCCCTCCTTCCTTCCTTCCCTCTCTCCCCCCTACCATTGTGATGTGCCCCGGCCGCATTCCGGCTGCAAGTGCCAGCAGTGTAACTTGAAACTTTGGAATTTCTTTAAAAATAAAAATTTGCACTGGGCCACATTACGAGCTGACCTGGGCCGCATGCGGCCCTCGGGCTGCAGGTTGGACAAGCCTGCTTTAAAGCAAACAAGAAGAGTAAGGGTCTGGGGAGGGGGCTGTGGAAGCATCCTTTAATAAACGTAGACATTCATGTTCACAGATTCCCCCCCCCCTTTTAGGATGCTTTCATAGACCCCTTAGACCAGGGGTCTCAAACATGTGGCCCGGGGGCCATTTGCAGCCCGCCGGATGAAAGTTTTTGGTCCCGGCCTTGCCTGCCCCATCGAAGCGCCCACGTGTCCTCTGCTGTGAAGAGTCAAAAAAAGCCTCGCCTCACTTGCCAGCTCTCTCCCAGGACAGCGCCTCTTGCACCCACCATCCGGAACTGCAGCCTGCCAGCCAGCCCACCTGAGTGTGCCTTTTTTTGAGGGGGGGCTCAAAGGAAGGTTGCTGGATCTCCGTGTGTCTGTGTGTCCGTGCGTGCCCTATCCCATTCAGTTTAATTTTGCGGGTACCAGTGGGGCTTTTCTCCTTTGGCAAGGCAATTCTGTGAGGCTTTAATTTTTTTTTAATGTCATGCTCTCCTCCCCCCCGGCTAGGCGGTCGCCAGCGCTCCCTCCCGTCTCCATTTCTTCGTCCTGCTGCTGCTGGTGGTAGTGAAGAAGGAGCTGGAGGGGGTTGTGGCCAGCAACAAGAGCTTGTGCACCCCTCCTCCTCCTCTTGGAGCCCCAGCTGAGCTAAGGAAACTCCTGGGCGGCTTCCTCGGGCTCTTGCTCCGCTTGGTGGAAAATCTGATGCGGCCCAAACTCTGCCTCCAGCAGCCCCCAGGTAAATTGAGTTTGAGACCCCTGCCTTAGACTGTCTTAATGGAAGCTCTATATACTCAAGGCATAGATCATCTGATCCAAAAATACACAAAGGATCAAAAATACAAATCCAACAAATACGTTCTTAACTATCCCAAATTTGGAATCCAGCTGGTTAACCAGCTCCAGTATAAACCTTTATCCTGAGTAATATGAGTAGCCAATTTATGCAACTTGTTGAAGTAAGTTCCCATGCCTGTGGAGTTTCTGGAAAAGCACACACTGGAATCAAACAGCTGGTCAACATGTGCCCTGTATTGATTCCGCCCTCCAAACAGGAATTCTGCTGATCTCCCACTAGGGCTGCAACTCGAAGCCAAATGTTATCGTCCCCCTCCAA